TGCTCCCCATCACAAACTTCCCACCTTGTTTTTCAGTGTTGGACCTCACCGCTGCTGGCCTGGAGGTGACCAAGCACCTTTTGCCCGCTGGACAGCGTGGCTGCGGGGCCCCGAGGCGGGATGAGGTGGCCACACACACCTGTTGTTTATGCTGTTTCCTCTTGCTGTTTCCCCTTCACTTCAGTCTGTAAAATGAAGATTATCCTCGTGGGGGAGTTGTGAGCATTAGTTTAGCTGGTAAAGAATTTTAAGCTTGTTGGCTATTTTGTGTTTTGTTGTTAGAACCAGCGAAAACCAAGAACTCCCAGGGCAAAATCTATTGCAGGTCAATTTATTTTATTTAGCTGGTATGTGCTCTAATTAATTATCCACATCTCTCATACTGGGCATATTGTGCATGTAAAGGAAAACATGCTCCCCACATAAAAGGTGAGTGAGTAAGTTCTTTGGCTAAAACTTTCCCACATAGGCACTCTGCTCCCATCCTAGTGTTGTTTACTAGCTAGCTGTTTTTTCAGCACAATATAGGTTTGCTTGTGGCCTGTTTTATCTGACACCGCAGATTACGACACCCTCGTGCTGCAGCAAACATTCACACGTAATAGTAGCACTTGTTAAACCTCACACCACTTATTCAGCAGAAGCAGAGCTGTCAGCTTGTGGAAGTAGCTTTCTTAAAAATCCTACTGAAATGGAAACAGAGCTATTCCTCTTCTCTCCAGAAGTGGCTATGGAATTCCTGAAGTGAAAAATTCAGAGGCCAGAAGAAAACACTGGTATCTTGTGTTGCACAGAGCAATGTGCTGGCATCCAACCATCGCTGCTGCAAATTCCTTCTTCCTTTTGGCAGTGAACCATTCCACTTACGAAGGGCAGATGAAAATTGTTCTAGATTTACATTGGCTCTTGTCTGATTGTAGTTGTGCTGTTCGGATAAAGACTTCTCTCTGATGCCAACAAAGCTTTGAAGGGCACATAAACATATCATCATCCTATCGTTCCTTCATCAAGAAGGAACTAATTTCAAGAAATGTAATATTTCTTCTGGCCACTTGGATCCTTTCAATGGTACAAGTGACAAACCCAGGATGAATCCCAGGAATGGTTTACTGTTTAAGTATATGGGTTGCTTCATCTAAACCATAGGAGCCCAATCTTCCTCCGTTAAATTGATCTAAATTCTCTTGTAAAATTTGAGGCACATTCAGTTCCAAACTAAACATTTCCCTTTCCAGACATTGCAGATTCTGATCAGCTGAAATAAATCTCTCTTTGCCCTCGTCCCAGCACTGTGACCCTGCTGGTGTCTGACGGTCAGGGTCAAGCTTTGCACCCGTTCACAGGCGCGTTCTGGTTGTGCGCTAACACTGTGGAGAAGCTGTTCCTCCAGGCTCGGCCTTGCGGTGGCAGTGGCTCTGTGCATTGCCAAACCACGAGGAGGAACGTGCTCCAGCAGAAAGAGGGTGCACGTTGGTAGTGCATGGGACTGAGCGGGACTCTCAGCGGCCAGGGGCGGGGATGGTCCCGCTCCTTCCCATGCCCCAGCATGCAGATCCTGCTGCACCCTCTCCCACCTGAGGTGATCTGCAGCCCTGCAGAGCCACTTTTGGTGCCAAGGCGGCTGCAGTGGCCCAGGCTGCAGTGCAGGGAGCAGGTACAGCACCAGTCTCCAGGAGTGATGATGAAGGGGAGGAAGGCACATGCCATCCTGGTCCGCGGGAGGAGGTCATGCTGCAAAGATAGAAAAAGAGCAATGGTGGGAAGAGCTTTAACAGAGGAAGAAGGAAGGAGCCTTGTGACTGGTAAATGGTGAAAAAGCAGCTACTGACATCGTGCAACTAAAATCCTACCAGGGCCTGTCAGCCTGGGGCTGGGGTGGGAGAGGAGCCAGCAGGAGCTGCAAGAGCAGCCAGGGGCCGGCAGTGCTGGGCTGTCCCTTGGGGTGTAGTGTGCTCGGGTCTGTGGCAGCCCTGCGGGGAGCCTCCCCATGCGCTGCCCACGTGGTGCCCTTCGCCTCACCCTCCTGGCGTGATGAGACAGGATCCTGGGGCCAGTGGGTTCAAGGCAAGGCGTTGAACTTCCAGGCAAGCTCAATGTGCAGCATTGGGTTTGGTGCTGCATCCCCTTTCCCTTGGGGAAAGAGGACTTTTAGTTCGTTGTAGGCAAATGCTAGGGAAATGAGGATATTTGACTCTTGGAGATAAAAGCCTCATGCTGAAAGGTTGTCATTGATGTGTCAAACCCTGCTTTGCATTTCCCACAGAGCAGGGTGAGTACTGTGTACCGGCGACAGCAAACCAGTTCATGTCCACCTTGCACCAGAGCTGTGGGCGCCTCGGAAACTCAGTACATCTATGCTCAGTGTTGCAGGGCACGCAAAAATATTTCGGGGTACAAATTAGTTTTGCAAGTAAAGGCACATATTGGTGAAAGTTTCAGAAGAGAAATGAGCTCTTGGGAGGGAGGAGACAGTGAGAGGACTCACTATATAAATGGGAGAAGAGGCGAAAAAGATGATCCTTAGACCCTGTTAACGTAGGTAGCCATGTCAGTAGCGGATTCACCCCTCTGGACTCATCTCCCATGTGCCCCAGAGTTGCCACCATGCTGACTCACCTCCCCTCCCTCTTAGCGGAGCTTGCATGCAGGTGATCTTCATCCCATTTCCATCAGGAGCCAGATGGATTTAAATGGCTGGGAGGTAGGAGTGGGCTGCTTTGCTAGCAGAGCTGGAGAGGATCTTGTGGGTGCCTTCCACCCTGTCACAGGCAGCCCACCATCCTGGTGGGGAAAGTAGCAGGTCCTGGGCGTTTTACAGCTCCTGGAGTGCTTCTCTTTTTGTCTGGTGGTGTGTTAGGGAGCCTGCCCTGAGGCATCTCCTAGCTGTATGTCAAGCGTGTACAGCACTTGGGCTACAAGTGGCAGGTGCTTGCTCTGCCTGGGGCTGTAAAACACAGGATAAGTGCTGGGCTGTGTTCTGCTAGAGAAACTTGCTAGTCAGGAAAGTGTTTTCTCCCTTAAACATTTTTCATCTGTTTTTATTTCCTTTGCATTTTTTTCCTTCTTTCTCCTTGGCTCCTGAAAAATTTGACTTGTCTGGCTATCTCGGACACATCAGTAGTATCTCAACAGTCTTCAGTTTACCTGTGGATTTACGGTTGAAAGTAACAGATGCCAAATCACCTTCAAACTTCAGCAGGTCAGGAGGGCAAGACTTAGTCTTTTCTGTGCAATATGCTTTGCACCTTACCTGTGTTTCCTGCCTATTCACGGTTTGGGCTCCCTTTTTAAAAGAAAACAAAAACAAAACGCTCTTGCATAGGCTGATACATACTTGTTCAGCCTTGCAAGGGCTCCCTTTGCAATATTTCATTCTCTGGTGCATGTTTATTGGCTTTGGAGAATCTTTTCCTTTCAAAGTAGGGTAAGGCATTACCCAGCTGAATGGATGTACTTTTAGATAAACTATTGGCTGAGTATTTTCTTAGAGTATTTTGCTAATGTGTGTCTCAGAGTTCATCAGTCTGGAAGGGGGATTCAGAATCTTTCATGCTGAGTTGTATCTGCCTCGAAAGAATGTGAGAATATTAATAGACAGCATTAAAAGCTTCACTGCACTTCAAGGAAGTCTCTTTTTTGTTGTTGTTGCTAGATGGCTGTTACTGTTTTTGTCAATCGTTTTAATTATCGTTGTACCCACTGGATCTCAGATTCAGCAAAATCTGTAGCGCCTGCATTGATCCCAAAGTGTGCAAGATTTTACTGATACTGAGTTTTATGTTGCTGTGACAAGTCAGACTCAGGTAGGGAGGTTATTTAGTTGTTGTTCAGATGTTCTTTTTTCCAGTGAACTTTTGACTCTTGTGAAGACAATTAAAGCAGCTGCTGCCTTCGTAGCTATTGCAGGCACCTGGGTGGTGTATGAGCACTATCTCCCTTCCTTGGCTGCGATCAGCACTGGGGCGCCTTCAGCATCAGCTTCAACTCCCTCCCTCTGCCAGCCACTGAGGCCTTTCTGCTTTGGACATGGTTTTATCTGATCATACTCTTTATGGAGTTTGGTGAGAGAAAAGCTCCTAACATCTTATTTCAGCTTTTTTCCATGGAACGGAGGTCAGGGTGGCTTTCTTCTGGCCCTCGAAGTAAGTATGTTGGTGACAGCTGTAATCAACACAGAGGCGCTTATACTGTTGATGAACCAAAACAGCTGCTGAATAAAAAGGAGGAAAAAAAATCTTATTTTGTTCCTAGAATCTTGCATTTAGCTTAATAAAGTGAGGCAGCATCTTAGTCCTCACAGGATTTTGTCTAACCCTGTATGTGATCCATGCATTCATGCACAGACCCAAAAGACAAGAAAGTTTACTGATTTTGGTTTGGGTTGACAGAGTCCCTCCAGGCTGTATCTGTGCAAATAGGCATCATGCTAGAACATCTTGAAGTTTCCTGTTGAACTTCTTAGCACCACAACTCCCTTGAGGTTTGTTCTCAGCTTTCAGAAATAACTGGTAGCTCATTAACAGCTTTTTATTAGCACTGAAAACTGTCTGAGGGAAGTTCTCCAGGTCACCTGGAGGCCTTGTCTTTACTAGGCAGAGGTGTTTGTTGTCAGGAACCAACTAATATGCTACAACACACGGTGCGGTCCTAAACATCTTTAATTTCACTACAAAAATATATTCTAACCTCTTCTTTGTTCACACATGGTAGCTAATGCAGGTAAAGTGTCAGACTGGTGCATACACGTTGCTTGCAGGTCAAGGGCCACGTTATGAAGAAGTCAAGTTCCTTTTGACCTCCTAACTGTTAAAAGTGGCAACTCTGCCTTTTTTTCCTATCACAAATGCAAGGTAATGGCAAGCATTTCAATTCAAAGTCACAATTCAGCCAACTTATTAAAATAAGATAACGCTAAAAAGAAAATATGCATGTTCAGGCTGATTGACATGATGTGGCTGGCAGTCAGAAGGCTAAAAGGGATCTGTCTGTGCCTTCTGCAGGCATGGCGCAAGCGCTGGTTCGTGCTACGCAGAGGCCGCATGAGCGGGAACCCTGATGTGCTGGAGTACTACAGGAACAACCACTCCAAGAAACCCATTCGCATCATCGATCTCAATGAGTGTGAAGTGCTGAAGCACTCAGGGCCCAACTTCATCAAGAAGGAATTTCAGAACAACTTTGTCTTCATTGTGAGAACCACCTACCGCACCTTCTACCTGGTAGCCAAAACCGAGGAGGAGATGCAGATCTGGGTGCACAACATCAGCCAGATCTGTAATTTTGGGCATTTGGAAGATGGCACAGGTATGATCATGTTTATTTTTGGGTCTGGGAGGATGATCTGTTTTTAGGTTCTTTCATAGCAGCACACAGGAAGTATAGACCTTGCCAGCTGGTTTGGGAGAGCAGGCAATGTGGGGCTTTGTATTTCTCGTGGCTTCGCACAGCACTGAGATTCTGTTAAACTCTGATTTGAAAGTTATAAGGGATCTCATTTCTGTTCGGTGAAATTGTAGCTGGACATTTGGTCTCACTTTGATGAACCAATTCCTGCTAGAATAAACAGCAGGTTCTTAATAAGAAAAGGTGTTGTTTATATGAAAAGCTGACTGAGTGTTATCTTCTGGCCCCTTTTATTTCTTTGCATATCCCATATTTATTTAGTTTGGCTTAATGTAAAACACCTGCTCCAAAAAATAGAAAGCGTCCTGCAAAACTCACGTTTTCTCAGGCTTTGCTAGATGTGGAATGTGGATAGATTTATGTGTGTATGTACATGTATAAATCAATGACAAAAATACTAAGCTATCTTAGTCTATTAATGAGAAGAAAAATAAAGAAAAGGCAGAGGACAGGAGAGTGTTAGGAGTGTATGTCTAGACTTAAGAGATGGTCTTGCCAATGAAGCATATAGGAAGCCTGTTTGCCAAGGCTTACACCTGTATATACTCAATAGGGTGAATTTGCTGGAAAGCTTCCAAGAATTAGCTGCTCCAGAATGGATCTAGCCAGTAATTAATGCCTGGACCTGTATCATTAACTTACCTTTCAAATGAGAAAATCAGGCTCAGATAACAGCAATCTGTCTTTCCCTTGACATTTCCAAGGGGCAGATACAGCAGCAATTTGAGAGCTTCATAGGAAGTGACTCAGTAAAGTCCTTCACCATGATAAAAGCCAGCGCAAGAGCAGAAAAGGATAGTGATGAAGGGGCTCAGCCTCATCACAGATAACTCGGAAAGGACAGTAATACGTTTTGGGGTGTCATAATGTGGCGGGGTAGATGATTACCCTGCCCTGGTCTCTGCGCTGCTGTGGCCTGACTGCTACTGCTTCCTGCAATGGCTGTGTAGACATACCATAGCCTTGTGGCTTGAAAGGAAACCAAAGGCCATGATGAGATGTTTTATTTTAATATATCCCAGTTCCTGGCCTTCTTTAATCTTCTCTTCAGTAGTTTATTCTGAGGGGAAATGGAAGGGAGTGGGAAGTGCTCTGCAGTGTTCCTGTTATAAATCTGAGGTCTGCTGTTTTCACATTCAGTTTAGAGACCACCAGGAAAACTTGCTGACATTTTTATGTGCCAGTGCAAACTGCTCATGCATGCAACTAGCAAGCTAGAACTTAAACACTGTGTTATGAGCTGGTAGCTGTGTGGGGATGGGAGCCAATAGCCCTTTGGAGCTTGAATGTAATTAGGGACCATTCAGAAACCCACTTGCCCATGCTAAAACTGCGATGAGTCGCTCTTGCATTGCTACTTTCGCTGTGGCATTATTTTAGATATACTTTCACCAAGTGATCTGAAATGAAGGTAGGTCTTTCCATGCGAAACAAAAGAGAAAAATAACTTACATCTTTGTCTCACAAATGGATAGGTAGACCTCTGCCAGCACTGTGTGTTGAGGATGTGCATGGGGAGACATGATCTGTGGAGGATCAGAGGAGCGGAGGCAGCGGCTGCCCCTAGCATAGATGGGTTTATACTGGGAAACCTGTATTCAGTTACACAAGTGGAGCAGGGCACTGCTTGTGCAGCTGTTTTACGCCCAGGCGGTACTTGGAGAGGGTCACAGAGTGGTGTTCCTCTTCCAGCAAAGATTGCTGGGGTAGATGTTGACAGATGAGAAACGACAGCTCTTGCTGCAGCAGTTAGAAAAGCTGACATTGCAGCTTTCTGTGCCGTTCCTCAAGGCAAATATTGTCCCCAAAGAAGTCCAGTGGTGCAGAGTGTTTGCCTTGGATCCATATAGCCTGGCATCTGAACTTACAGCCCTTGTAATGGGCTGATCCCCTTCTGTAAACTAAGCTCCCAGACATGCACTTACCATCTCCCTAATAAAAAATAGCTCTTAGGCTCTTATTTATCCTGCACCTCCTGCTGGTGTGGTCCGGTCTGGGGCATATTCTGGTCAGGCTGCAGGGCACGTTCGGCTCATATTTATATCTTGAGCTGTGATTTAAATCTGCACCGTTTCACAGGTTGCACATCCCATTTCAAACAGTTGCCAATTGCTTGAGCTTCTTGGAAGCACCTCAATCCCCCAAGTGCCTGTAGGTTTAAACAAATTGCCCTTAAAAATTAGCATAAGAAGAGAAAAGCTCTATTAAATGCCATATGCTTTTTTAAATTGAATGCTACTGTGTTAAAATAATAGTCCCTGAAATGAATCATCAAAAGAAAGACATCAGTTGCAAGAAAGTTTAATAAGCTGTTCTGTGTATTAAAATGAATCTCAAAGCCAATATTACATTGTGAAATCAATCATTCTTAATCCTTGCATCTTGTGGAAAAATTGCTGTGACTTTGGGGCCGAAACCAAATCTCATGCTTTTTCTGCTTAATACACATGAAGTGCAGTTGCAGGTTTGCACAGTGACTCAGCTATAAACACAGGCCATTTCTTCTTAGTTCTGTCCAGCAGCAGGAAAAAGCTGGATTAATAGCTGGGCTCTAGCTTCAGAGGCCTCTAATTTGACATTTAAGCAGCCAGAGCAGCCAGATACAGACCAAAGTCAGTGAAACCCCTGCTGGTCCCGCAAGGCCAGCCCTAGACGCCTCTTTTTTAGTCAACAAAGAGTGGGGCTGGCCGAGAGTCGGCGAAGAGAAACACAAGCTGCAGCCAGATGTCAGGAAGCACCTGGGAGGGCGGCTGCTGGGAAGGGCTCACCAGGCAGAGCCGCTCACGCCGCCGCAAGGAACCGTGCCGCTTGCTGGCGGTGCTCAAAATGGCAGGGAGGGAACCGGCACCTCCAGGAGAGCCTGGCTGGAGGAAAAGCAGGACCTTTCCCTATTCTCCTACCCTTTCTACATAAAAACCTGCCTCTGGCAGAGCAGCAAATCCTTCGGGAGCTGCTGCTTTTGCAACGCCGAGGGCAGAAGTGTAGCTCAGAAGCATGGCGATGGGCGCCAAGAGGGGATCCCCCACCCCAGAGCTGCGGGGTCCCTATGGCTTGGTGGAGCCGTCGTTCCCCACTGAGCGGGCGTCCCCGCACCAGCCATGCGGAAGTCAGCAGGAGGCTCGGACCACGGGCTGGGCAGAGAAGAGAGTGAGGAGAGCACGAGCTGACGCGGCCGTGGGACTCCACGGGCATGCTTCATCCCACGCGCAAGCCAAAAACACGATTAACTGGCACAGAGCAATATGGCAGCTTTTCATTGGAGAAACTGTTGTGAAGGTTGCTTAGCCTTTTCCAGTAGGAAGTCTCGCTTTTAAAGATTGTAGCTGACCATTAGACGCTTCCCCCAGGCCGTGCCTTGGCAGGCAGCACCTAAACCCAAGGGGGATCCTCTGTCTTGAAATCCCCCCGGGTGCAGCCCGCGCCCACTGAGCCCGCTGCAGAGCTCCCTGTGCAAGCCGCACCTCTGCCCCCGCGGCTGCCCA